TCTTTTTTTTTTTTACCTCTCTGGTGAAGTCTGTTTTGGTAATCCATCTCTCATCCTATCGCAATTATTTTCCGGTTATCGTCAGGTTAAATTTGCAGATTATAAATTTCATGTAAAACTACAAATTATAGCCAGTCGATTAGAATAAGGGCATGTTTGATAGACGTAGGCCTGCTACTGGCTCTTATTACAAGAATGCAGGATGTGGCCAACTACAGCTGCATGGAAATAGCTGCATGTCTGTCTGTGACAAGCTGGTTATGGCTCGGCCCTGAGGAACTGGAGGCCCTGTGCAGGAATTTGGGTTTGCAAGACCTCTTTATTTGTTCCTTTTAGCTTTATCAGTATCTCTCATGCAGAAGTTCTCTGGAAACTGAACCTAGAATGTGGCATTTGCTTAGTGCCTGTGTATGTTGCTAGCTGTCATCTGCAGATGCTTCTGAAGTGCTTAGTGGGAAGCCGTCACAACACAGTCAATCAAGCTACTACAGTAAGTGAAACATGACAGACACACTTTTAGGACGTCCCTGTGTGGAAAGCAGCTTTATAAAGGTTTTATTTTAGATTTGATAAGTCCCGAGGTTTAATATAGGGTTTAGGATTAGGAAAGCACACGCGTGTTTTAAAATGTCCTCATGGCACTTTTTTAATCCTGTCTATACATGTAAATTCCCTAATCCAAACAAATGGTGGATTAAGATATTGGACAAGATGGGGATGGAGAGGCAGAAAGGGGTTCCTACTTTCATTGAAAACCTAGAAATATCAGGAAATTTTAATAGTGAATATTAGGGCCGCACGATAAATCGAAATGGAATCGAGATCGCGATTCTACAGAAGCACGGTTCTGTGATCAGCAGTAAATCTCCATCCAAAGGCCAGAGGGCGCTCTCGTGCTGAAACTCCAAATACGCCTCGCAGAAGAAATCCAGAAAATGCCTATCGCTGCAGCAGAATAAACAGAAGATTCAACTGCTTTCATTGATTCAACGTGACTAATAAACACACAACTACGGCAATATACGGTTTATCGGAGTTATTATAATTTTCATTAAAATAAAGTATATTTATAATGCAATGCCTTTATCACTGTTTAAATACTATGAAATATGTTGCGTGCCTTATTCTGTGTAAGAAGCCCCATCATCTCACAGAAGGATTTATTTCAAACACTCGACTGACGTTATGAGGTGAGTTTGGAGTAAAAATATGTTATTAAATGTGGTATTTTCACATGCTTTCAGATGGAGCAGCATTTACTACACATAGCCGTAGTTCACTGACAAGTTACGCAAAAAAA